TTGCAACACTCCGTTACTGATGCTAGTATTATTGCAGTTAGTTACCCATACTGTAAGCGTTGGTAGAGTAGCATTGGCAGCCGTGGTGGCGGTGGTAGTAGTAGTAGTACTAATAGTAGGATTATTAGTAGTATTCGCCGTAGACGGGGGAAAAAGTTTTCCTCAGTGTTGCGACACTGTATTCCCGCCAGTGGTAGTAGTATTAGTAGTAACAGCGGTAGTATTGGTAGTAGTAGCAGTAGTAGTGGTGGTGGTGGTGGTGGTGGTGGTAGTAGTAGTAGTAGTAGTAGTAGTAGTAGTAGTAGTAGTAGTATTAGTAGTAGTAGTAGTAGTAGTAGTAGTAGTAGTAGTAGTAGTAGTAGTAGTAGTAGTAGTAGTAGTAGTAGTAGTAGTAGTCCGCCCGTAAGACAGGCTGGTGGGGGAATAGACAATTCTAAGTGTTGCGACACTGTATTCCCGCCGAACCTTCTTCTTTGAATTCCCACATCTCAGATCTTCTGTAAAAGAAGCCTGTGTGGAACACTGTCAATGGCCTTCTTGAAGTCAAAAATAGGATATCCACTGGATATCTCTTATCGGTATCTCTTGTCCACTTTTCTTGCGCGTAAAGAACAGTCGTTAGGCTGGAGCGTCCTCGACGAAAGCCATGTGTGGCATCACACAATGTTTTGTTTTCTTCCAGGTATTGCTTCAAATGCCTTTTGATAATGTGTTCCACTATTTTACGTGCGATGCAAGTAAGACTGATGGGACGGTAATTTCCACAGTCAGGTCGTGGACCTCCTTTATGGATCGGAGTCATGAGTGCGCACATCCACTCTCCTGGGAGCTCGCCTTCTTCAAATGACTTTTGAATATTGCAGACAATGATTCGAACAGTTCATTAGTAAATTCGCGATTTGCTAGTGCGGGCATATTATCTGGGCCAGGTGACCTGGCATGTTTCAGCCGAAGTAGTTCGGCCCTAAATATAGTCGATAAAAAGAGTGGTTCCTGGATCAAGGAGGGTAAGGAGGAGCCAAGAGGAAGAAAGTGAGTAGTAGGAGGCGTTGGCTGGCGAACGGACGAATGGGCAAATAGAGAACTAGGTTCTCGGGTGAAGACGGAACGAAATAAATTAGAATGGCGGGACGCTTTGACCTAGTCATCAGCCTCCACTTTTCCATCCGCAGATAGTAGGATAGACGAGATAGGCACTTAACTTATCAACGAGCTGCCTCTGTTGCCGCTTAACCCGTGTGTTCCAACATTTGATAAATTATGTTATGTTCTGGCAGCCGTTGCGGTTACGGCACATAGTTGGCCTCTTTACTGATGTGTATGTTGCGCACAGATAGGCCATGGGCACACGCCCACTTTACTCGAATTTGCTGAAACGTATTGCGTGATGAGTTGAAGATAAATCCTCGAATGCTCTATTGGAAATGCCCCTATCGACCATAATTTATCATGAGTGTTGTGCATGTGACAATAGTTCTAGCCCCTGTAGGTTTTGAGAAATCTTTTGTAGTGTATTCTGGTCACTGAATAGATACAACACCCTTAATCTAGACCTTCCCCTCGACTACTAACTCATTCGTTTTAATGCACTACCGTACTCCTGTGACCTTAAGGGCTGTTTCCGGGCGGGAGTCATACTATTCCTGTTCATCCGTCAACCATGGCTGTCAGCGGCTGCGCTAACTGTCTGAGAGTTCTGACTATAATATTTAATTTTGTCGTCTTTGTAAGTTACTTTACCCCTCATTACGTTCTGCTAACGCATAAGGGTGACTTATTTATGCCTGCTCTCTAAGCGCTTATCCGCTCTGAAAATTCCGAGCATACGTTTTCCTTGAACTCCAAGAGCCTAGACATCAGAAAAGCCTTTTACTAACCAACTTTACTTGTGCCCCTAGTTATGCGGCATCCTTCTTGTGGCGTTTGCCAGCTACGTTCTACATCAATTCAATACAGTCTTCTACGGTCTGAAGGCGCAAGAATATGGAGTCGTAATCGGTTTGCTCGTGTTGGGGCTCCTGATTTTCTTCCTTGGGTTCTTGGGTTGCTGCGGCGCTTGGAAGGAAAGTATCTGCATGCTTACTACGGTATTAACTCTGTTGACTAATGACCGACATTCAGTTTGCGACCATCATTGGCATTCTCCTAGTCGTCCAAGTGATCGTCGCCATTGTGGGTTTCGTCTACAAGGATGAGGTTAGTCTCCGTCTATCTCATTCCTTGCCCAGATTCCAAAGATCGCGAAGGAATACTTGGATAGAGCCCTTGAGGAAGCGAAGTCACAGGGCGGCTCGCCGATAATGCAGGAAATTGAGCGGACTGTGAGTCTATAAGTGTCTTAACTACTGTTTAGTTCCACTGTTGCGGTGTTTCAGGGCCATTAGACTATGGTGCCAAGCTACCAGAAAGCTGCGGGACATCCTCAGTGGTAGGTTTAATTTCAATACTGTTTTCTCTTTTTAACAATACCCATGCTAACTATTTGTTATACGCTAGGGATGCGCCCAACTGGCTGAGGACTACATTAGGGGGCATTCAACGACGCTCTTCATTGTCGCCATCGTCGTTGCCCTTCTTCAGCTGGCTGCCGTCATTGTTGCATGTTGTCTGCAGTCAAATATCCGCAAGTACCAGACCGTCTAATTGGATGCGACCTAAAAAGCATTTGGATAACATTTTTCTCCGTTGCCTTCCGTCTTCGTCATGTCGATTTGCTGCTTATCCATTGGTAAAGGCGTGCGCTTTATTTCTTTTTAAATCTGCAATATGTCATCAGCCCCCATTAAAGTTTTTATCTGACCGGATTTCAGACTTTCTAGCTGGAAGTGTTTGGCGTAACGATCACCGTCGGTAGCCCACTAGTTCGGACTTTCGGGACACTGGCCCGCCGTAAGACGAAATACACAAGACCAGCGGTCATTTGCCTGCCCGAACGTACTTCCGTGATTATAACTACATTGACGATCGGCCCGCCATCCTGATCGGGAAGATGTGCGTTGGGCTCCTGTCGTAGTCCCAATCGTCGTATTTGCGGTTTGTTTCCAGTATGTAACAAGCAAACTAGAACCGGCTGCCGTAACTCGTCGCTGTCCACCTCAGCAATCCAGGCAGAGGTGACTCGAAACGTGGCGGTAAAAAGCGTGTTGCTCAGCAGATCCCAAGCCGCTCTTCCGAAGCCTTATTGTTGCGAGGACTCGCGTTGATTCACGGGTAGCTCGTTAACAGTTATGGTGCCTCTGGGGTTAGCCAGCTCGGTGTCACACACGTGCCTGGGCTCTCGGATCCCTGTTGTAGGATGTTTGGAGTTCCCAGCCTCCGGAAGGTCTTAAGTTGTCCGCAACTTCTGCAGGCCCATACTCGAGTTCTGCTGTCTGCGGCCCATTTTATGGCGGGGGGGGGGGTATTTTGGAGGCTCGTGCGACCTACTTCGCTTTTAAGGCATTTGGGGTTGGTGTTCGCTTGCCCTCGCTGAGCAAGCGAGGAACTTCCCGCCTCCTGGACGCATGAGGGTGCGGATACCGGCGTCACCATCGCTGCCTCTGGGCATCCAAGGCTGTCCGCCGCTTGCTGATCCCTGTCCAGGCGGACATCGGATAGGTTTGGGTCTCGAAGTTCCCGGGATGTCATTGCACCGCGCGAGTTAGAAACGTAGAGGGTATGTCCGGGTGGCTAAGGTAGTTACCTGGCAGCGCCGACAGGCAAGGCAAACCCGTAGGCGCGTCCTGATTGGACGAGGGGGCCTCAAGATTGGTAGACTAGAGTCGGCAAAGCATCGTGGCTGCTTGCATTATGGTTCAACGCATAGGAGGGATGCCAAGTGGCGCCACGGCCCACGCAGTCCGAGCCTCAGGAACTGTTGGTATGAGGCAATTAAGTGGCTTGGTCTGTCAAGATGTTTACGCCAAGCGGGACAGGGGAATGAGTCTGTGGCTCGCCACTGTTCACTTCCAAAGTCCTCGTGTCCTGGTGCATCGTGGTACCTTGAAACACCTGTGATAGGAACCAGCCTGTAGTCGCCTCTGGGCTAGTACCACGTTAGCTGGGTGTGCATCGAACTCTGCCTTTCGTGTACTGATTTACTCTAAAAAGCATCTTCGAGGTAGCTGCGCCGGCAAGTATTTGACAGGCTCGCTAAAAGTGTTCGCCGAGCTTTGCTGCTCTAATTGCTAGAACAGGGTACTATCCCGCTCTTGCTTGCAACACCCCTGAGAGGTTCGTGGTCAGCTCACTTTATCGTTACTGGGGCTCTTTAACTAGATGGGGCCGGCCGCTTGACTCTGACTGAGAAGCAGTCATTCTTATCGATTTGGCCCAGGCAAGGGAGGAACCAACTACATTGAGGCCGTCCGTGCTCTGTGCGTTTGTGCTCGAGAGCTTCATGACTTACAGCACGTTGGGTTTCTCCGTTTTCTGCGAAAGCTTGGTCGTGTCCTAGCCATCCGAAAGATCTGGACTGTCACCTGCCGCCAATCTCACCGCTAGTCCTATTTGTTATTTTAAGCCTGGTCGGGTGGCTGTCTCATGCGGGTGCTCAAAGCCTATGATTGGCCACTTTGCCTTTACGAACGTACGCATTCGCAGTAGTGTTTGCTTTGGTCCGCACAAACTGAAGTCGACTGGCTTTGTACGTGCCGACGCCAAAATGGTTTGTTGCATCCGGCAGCACACCCGCTGTGAACGCCGGTTCGCGTTTCCCGACTTTCCAGCGTTCATTCATGCATAGCTATGAAATGAGTGATCTCATCTTGGTAGTTGCTTACAGGTGCTCTTGGTTAATCCCATCACCGATAAGCGACTTACACCATCGCTTGCACGTCGTCATCGCACACTACCGAACTGTATTGGGGAAATTTATGTGAATTCCCGTCAGTGCCACTTTAGCGCTGATTTCGCACAGGTCGCAACCCTCATACGACAGAAATGGGGGTTTATGTCCCTTTTCAACAGTAACCGCGGGACTATCGCTGGCCTCCATGTAAAAGATGACATGTATGGACTTTATGTATCTTTCACCATTCTCACCTCTCGGACGGGCGTTGGGATTAGATTTATCAAGTTTTGTTTTATGTGCAGACTCATGCCCAGCGAAACACTTGTAGATAACGATTGTCTGATGAAGAAAGTCGAACGCCTCGTGTCGAAATACTGGAGCGTTCTTGAACTGGACAGCTGGGCTGACTAAAGATGCTTAAACGCCTCAGTGGCGGTTTTACTGCCATCTAGCCGACGCGTCTGCTGGGGGCAGGCTACGGTTTCCATTCGCCATCCCGATTAAGATGCAGTGTAAAGTCAGTTATGAGGTAATCAACTACGACTGCATATCCATTTGCCGATTCCCGAGGACCAGGTCAGTTCTTAAGTCCGTTCGAGTTTTCATAACTTAGTCGATAGCCTGTCTCTTCAGATCAGCAATATGGTATGTGCGGGGAACGCATAATATACGATTAAGGCCTGTGCCAAATAGTCACCATCTGCTTTATTAGAAGCGGATTGCCTCCGTCTTGATAGAAATGAGAATTCGCCTCCGTGAACAGTCGTGTATGAGGCTTGCTAGCCAGATACTCTCACACTGAGTTCGTGGTGGTACGTTCCACACATCCTGAGCGCGTACCGGACTGCCAGATTGCCACTTCGCATTTCTTTGTGACACGCAAAGGTTATGCCCATCGATGATGTGTCCATTTTGACTTGGCGGGGCTGTTGGAGTCGCGTGTAGGTATTTTGGCGATAATCCAGGATGGGGTCGGTGTAGCCGTGTGCCAGTGAAGAAGATTGGTGGCTCCTCCCTCATCGCCGACATCCACTCCGCCGCCGCTCGCTGTTAGCATTCTACCTCTCTCCCGGTAGCTCTTCACATCGCCACACTTCCCACCGGTTGTTACACAGACATGATGGTATTACCTCCCATTCCAGACGGATCGGTTGTATTTTTCTTGTGACTCCTCCCCTATATTGTTGAGTACCTTGTTACCATTTAATTCATAGAGATTTTTGACTCAACTGTAAGAACCTTGACGCCTTGGTGGGATTCGAACGCACGAAAGCAAGGGGAAGGCTTTGGTACAGGTGGACTATGTAGGAAGTCCTGCTTGGGCAGTCAGCTAAGTGTATCAGATTTGGTGGATTGCAAACGTTGCAGTAGGTTGGGCGGGTAGCTGGACCTAAATGAGATTAAACTCACGTCTCCCGGTGGGGTCTCGTAGCTCAGGTGGCTAGAGCGTTGGCTGTACTAGAGCCTTCCCCTTGCTGTCGTGGGTTCGAATTCCATCGAGGCGCCGAGTTTTCACAGTTGGGTCAATATGAGTTACAATTTAACGCATGTCTCGCCAGTAGTACAGCAATTACAAATTCCCAACTCTTTTTCTTCTATGTTTGCCTGACTACGTAAGATGACAGCTACGTACCTGACAGCATCGGGCAATTTATTCTCAGACATGAATTATCTCCTGGATTGTCCCGTGTTTGCCTTCCTAAACGTCTTTGGCCGCCGCACGCGGGGCAACTTTGGTCCGCATTACCTGAATTATATCTGACCCATTGGCCTCTTTCCGGCGTGAGGCTGCATACGCAACTGAGACCCGACGAGTTTTGCCTGCTTCGCCTACCCCCTGTCCTCTGCGTAGCCAAGAAAACCAAGGAGGCCGGTCAGTCTAGCTATCGTTGAGCTGCCCGTAAAACACCCGATTGTGAAACCTACCCCTATTTATTTGACCATTCAGAAGTATTTTTTCTCGTTCTCTTAAACTTCTGACAGATGTTCAGCCTATAGCAGCTGTTCTGAGGACTCGGGATTTCAACCTGCATGACTAAATTGATTTAACTCTGTGTCTGAAAAAATCTGTCCTTCATCCTCCAACGAAAGTAATATTAGTTCATGAATAAGCCTAGGACATAATCATGTTGCGTATCTCCGCATCACCTATAGGTTGACTGAAGGGTATGGTGGCAATGGCACTCCTAAATACCAAAAATGTGTTGATTTTGCTGTCACCGGACACGTCGCGGATTCGGTTCGATTCCAAGGCAAAAAGTTGCACTTCAATGCATCACAATACAGTACGCACACGTGGAAGGCAGCATTTATTTTGGAAAGTGCCTTTTACTCTCATTCAGTGTTTCCGCCTCATAGAGGGATTCTCTGCGGTCCGGGGTCACCGATCTATCCCAGAAAACAAATTTCATCGGCGTGCTCATAGG